AGATAAAATGTTTGGATAAGATATAGATAGTACAAAACGAAGAATGAATCAGAAGATGACCGTGAATAACATTATTTACGACACGTACAAAGAGAGGTGTGATAAATACATTTCGATTCTGAATTGGGATAGCAGAAGCGTTAAGGTACAGTAACAAAATGAATAGTTGTGAACATATGGAAGTGAAAACTAAACTTTCGAGACATTGACGGTTCGTCGCTCCTTGCATATTGGTGACTGTGTCAGCAAGGTCGGGAACGTAGGCGGCTCGTCCGGACACCACGATAACAGTCGAAATGTTTTGTTGGCCTTCTGTGAAGACGACGGGTCGGATGTTGTGGAGTCTTTGATCGATTTTTGTGCTGGGAAACGAGTACGCTCCGTTGAATGACGAAATTGAATACATGGAGGTGGGTGTTGAAGCAATATGAGGTGGTGATTGACGAATTCGGAATACATGGAGGCGGTGTTGAAATAATTACGATGATAGAGTATGAACTGACGAGATCCGGTGATGAAAAAATGAATACTTTTGACGAAAAGACTCGGACTTGTAGCGAACATAATGAGTGAAAAATATTGTGTGTAGTGTCGAAACCGTCGATGTATAGGCGAATGGATTTATGAATGAAAGTTACGAGAAGTTTGAATTACGACAATAGAAGTGATGACAGTTGTAACAAATCTTTACGGCAATTTGAACGAAGGGGATTTGTTAATACAACAATACGTTAGATTAAAATTTGATCACAATATCGATCACAAGATTAATCACGATGTCGATGCAGTTGAGCAGTGTGATGATACGGCAGTTGACTCGCTTGTGCGATTCCTTTGGAGACTTTTGCCTCCACGATAGGTTTAGAGATCGTTTGTCTCAACGTAGTCTTTAGAGACGTTTGTCTCTACGCAGAAGAATACGAATAGGAATAAGAATGAAAACAAGGACCCAGAAACAGAGTCGAATCAACCCTTCTTTTATACTGAGATTCAGCGGAAGAATCAGTGCAATTCCCACGGACAGGAATGTGATTGTTTTGTCTATCGAAGCATTTCGAACGGTGATAACGGATCAGCAAAGATTTCGAGATTAGCAAGAAAAAATGTTTTGTCTTCTCGCAATACGAGACAAATATTATGAATAATTATGTTATTATGAATGCCGATATTATACGTATTAGTAATGCAGTACAAATACAAATACTGATAGTGAGTTACAATTATGAATACAAAATCCACTTTCACGTGACAAAAATTTTATAGGATTGATAGGTATTTGATAAAAATTTGGTATTAGAGTAAAAGTTTTTTGCTGTTGCCGTGGATCACGAATAGATTGTCGAATAATATTTATTAGGAATAATTGCGAATATCCGTAACAATGATAATATCCGTAATGATACAATTAATCAAATAGGAACGTAATATGAGTAGAATACGAACACACTTGTGGATCAGTCGTTGGTTGATCTACGTATCAGTATGAATGCTTATGAAATGAATGTAGACTCTGATTCCGACGACCTTCTTGCTCTTCGAACCACCCTCTCTTATAGCCTTCGTATCTTCGTCCATTCTAACGTTCCTAAAAGATCATATTTGTAGATAATATCTTCCGATAAAATTTCTTAGCTTTCTGACAGTGCCTTCGTTTTGTATCAGACAATGCCTACTAGCATGCATTTTATCCGAATACGTAATGAAGATATTACATTTCCCATATGTTCTTCTTTATGTTTTCATTTGAAGAATTCATCGAAACGGTGTTTTTAGAAATCGCAAAGTACAATGTTTAGATCAGTACAATTTCTAGATAAAAGCTGAGATAAAGCTATAAATCGTAACGATGAATCATGCACCGATATTACATAAGGCTGAGATTAGAATACGATTGTAAGCAGGATGCATAAGGCTTGTGGGAAATACGATGCGTACAGTTTGAATGTATTTGAATGAATGATGTCAAATTCTTTTTAATGGAATCGATACGTGTCAATATTGAAAACGAAAGAAAATGCAAAATAATGTTGGACACTCAATAGCGGAGATCACGAAGGTTACGAGACCGAGTTATCCGGGTTATCCGGACAACTCCGATCACATCACCTCAACAACATTCATTATAACCAAGACCGAATCTGATGTACATGTTACATATTGCATGTCGATATGAAGGCTTAACACTACATAAACGATTCAAGTCATGTAGACTGAGTATATCGACGGAAGGTAAGAAAGAGATATCCAAAGGATTACAAAAATTGACAATTACAGAAATAGACCTGAATCTATAAACATTTGCATGATACAGACATAATCGTAGCTAAATAGTACATATCTTATCTTACATCCAGTTTGAGGAAGGTAAAAGAAAATTGCTTAAATAAAGGGCATTATGAAGGCATTCGATGTGCAATGAAATGCATCATGAACAGCTATTTAATATAAGAAATATTGTGATTGTTATTGTATATAAGAAATATTGTGAACAGTTATGATGTTATGAATGACAATATTA